AGTCAAGGAACACCGAGCCCCTCCCCAACGAAAAGCGTTCGTTCTTCAGGGCCCCGACTGTAGTCGGGGAAGGCCGCGCCGCCCCCCCAAGGGCGCGCCGAAGTCGGGCGAGGCTGCGGCCAGGTCCATGAACACGGGGTCCGACACATCGTCGACACCGCCCTCGTACGCAAAAACACCAGGGAGAGCAGTGCCGCACTCGGGGTCGTGGTTCCCCAGAGGAAGGTCATCGAGAAGCATCTTGTCATCCGAAGGTTCGTCGCAGAGGTCCACGGGGGCGTGGTCGAGTGCGCCGCCATCCGAGAGGATGCCGTCGAAGGTGGGCCGGCCAGTCCACTGTCAAATCAGAGTCAGCAGCCGCATCAGAGCCCGAGGTCGCCGCCAAGCCTGCAGCATCAGCAAAATGAGCAGGTGGCCCATGAGGCGCCGCGGGGGGCCGATGTCCAGCAGGAAGCCAGCGGGCTCCTGAGGTGTTCCCCTTGCCTGGGCGCTTCCTCAGGGGCTATTCCGGCAACGCGAGGCGAACGTGAGCCTGTGGTGCCCCCTCGCGTGGGGGCTTCCACAGGACTTAGCGATCTACGAGGCACGCGGCCCCCAGGGCGGATGGCAAGAGGACGCGGATCGGCGTGTCCATCAGCAAGCAGTGGAGTCACGCTGCCAGAGAAGCTCGTGGAAGAGGGAGGCGCCGCATCAACTCCAGGCGCCTGCGGTGCAATGTCGGCGTGACGCTCAGGGAGAAGAGGCGCTGGTGGAGCAGGCGGCCTGGGCTGAGCAGGGCGCTGGGATGTAAACCAATGCAAAGCATCCGCGTCAGAGCCAGGAGGCGGCGGGCCGGGAATGCTCGCCGAAGGCCACGGGGGAGTAGCCCTGCAAGCGCCCACCGAGGAGCGCACCACACCGCCAGCAGGATGTCGCAGCCGCAGGCCGACATGATCGAGGACCTCATCGTCCGACATCGCATCGTCCACGTAGAACTCGGGCGAGCCCCTGCCCTGCTTCTCGGTGGCGCCCGTCGCCTCCATGTCCTGGCCGGCGGGGGGCAGGTGGCCGTCGGGGTGAAGCGAGGCGGCGGGCTCCTCATCGGGGTGGGGGGCCTTCAGACGATGACGACGACGGCAAGGAGCGCGGCGAGCGAAGCGGAGGAGCCAGGGGGTCGCCGACCAATGGCTCTCGCTCGTCCTGGCGGGCCCAGCCGCCAGGGCCAGGGGCAGGGGGCGCGCGAGGTGGAGCGAGCCGCCTCCATGCACCTACGAGCCGAACCCCACGGAGGAGCTTGACGCGCCTGTCGAACGGGGTCCTCGAAGGGTCGGGGCGCGAGTCCAGCAGCCCGAAGCGAACAAGAGCATGCAACCGCGCCGCTCGGCGAGCAGAGGCGGAACGAGGGAGAGTGGCCGCGGCTGGCTTCGAAGGCGCTCACGCGGGATCGCACTTGCATACCAAGCAACGGTGCATATCCCTTCAGCAGCGTGACGGACGAGGGACGGCGCCGCGTGCTGCGTGCTCGAGGGGGCAGAAGCCGTCGTGGTGCAGGAGCCCGTGCACGTAGTCCACGCACCAATCGAGCCACACCTGGACGTCGTCCTCAGGGCGCCCGTAGTAGATCGAGGGGAGCCATGCTTTGGGCCACTGCGTGGCCCTGTCGGTGAGCTCTCGCTGTCGTCGCTCAACGCGTTGGAGATCAGGCGGTGAAGACGCGCCACCGCCGTGGGAAGTGCCAGCCGTGGAGGTGCTCGAAGTCGGGGGCCCCGGGAGGGCAGGGCGGCGGGCATGAGCGTCACACCTGGGAGTTACGTTTGTCTTCGCCTGTTTTTCGGAACAGGAGTTGGTCGGAGCAGTCGTCGAGGTCGGTGGTGTCGGGCAGCTGGTCCAATGGCTCTGCTCGGTTTGAGCAGTCTGGTGGCCTCCTCTTTCGCCCTGGACTCGGTGGGGGTGGCGAGCTCGGGCGGGCCGCGGGGGCCCGGGATGTGTCCGTCCATCACCCACCTGCCCCGCACCGCATCCGCTGGCAGGCGCGAGCACTGGCCGTCCTGCCCCCCCGCCCCTCGGACCCGAATCGAGGTCTGTTCCATGCCATGCCTGGCGCAGCTGTCCGTCAGAGTCGCGCGGGTGGCCCGTGCCCTGGGAGGCTGTCGGGACTGCCGGCAAGGGTTGGGTTGGAAGGGCATGGTTGTGAGGGTTGTCGTGGTCGTCGGTCGCTGTGGGGGGCGTCGGGTGTCGTTGCTGTGAAGTCCGCAGAAGCGACCTGTGGGCGACGCAGGGAAGGGCGCTGCCATCGCCCGGGCCGAGGTCTTTGGCCGGGGCGTCGCCGGCCAAGTCGCGAGCGCCCAGGGCGATGCGAGTCGAAGGGCGCGGCGATGAGGGCGGAGCCGACGAGGAAGCCCTGGGCGACGATGGGCAAGAGGACGAGGACGTCGAACTTCAAGTCGGTCGAGGGGCGCGACGTCAGGATGGGCATACGACTCGAGCGCGGCCGACAAGCGCGAGCAAGCAGAGGGGCACGAGCCGCCAAAGTCGCACCAAGTTTGGCCACCGAATAGCGGCGCGAACATGGGATCCGCGTGGGCCGCGTGGGGTGCGGACGCGCAGGTGCAGCGGAGGGCCAAGGTGTCAAAGACGACGCGATCCAGCTCGACGGCGCTGCCAAAAAGACCAAGGCGCCCCAGCGGCGAAGGCGGCCTGGTGTAGCCGAGCTCCTGCTCGACGATCTGGCGGAACGGGTCGCAGGCCAAGTGGTGCTTGCGCTCGTCGGAGGCACCGCAGCAGCCCACACGGCATGCCAGACGACCATGAGGTTGGATAATGCGGTGAGATGCCGTCCAGCCGTTCGCAAGGGTCTTGAGATAAGCGAAGGCCCAAGCCATGGAGAAGCCGCGCACGTAGATGAAGACGTGGTCCCATCGCTCACGTGGCACAAGAAAGCGGCCAAGCTCGATCACAGATGGGAACGCGACCAGAAGACGCGCGGCAAGACAGTCCCAAAGCGGATGATGTAAAAGCGGAAGGCGAACAGCAGCCGATACCGATCGCTGAAGACCACGCCGAGCAGTGGCCTCTAGTACCCACGTAGTAGCTGCTGCGACGGCAGCGCTGATAATGCCTTTTGTGTATGCAGGAAAGCGCGCCGAGGTGCCTTCCGTTGCAGCCCTGTGGAGCGTCTCGATAAAAGGCCTCGGATTGCCAGAAGGACGGATAGGGCGAAGACGATGCCACGATGCCACCTGACGTAGGGGGCGCTGGCCACCAAGCCGATCTTGTTGCCGAAAACGCCAATCACGAAGATGAGCATACTCTGGCAGGGTGCGAAGGGCAGTGCGGACCAGAGCCCCCGCGCTGAGACCAAGCCAGGGCGGAATCGAGGGGCCGCCCGCCGCCCGTAATTACAACTGGGCGGTCATGTTGAAGGCGCCGAGCGGGGGCCCGATAGTGCGCGAGAAGGCGACGAGCTCCTCTCGCAGCAGCCGCCATGAGACCATGCGGCACTGGGCGACGTGCCAGAGAACGGGGGGGATCCTCATGGCGCAGTTGTTGGCTAGCCGCGAGATGGCCAACGCGCTGTCGCCAACCCTCTTGGAGCGCAGTTTGACCTTTATGCTGGGGGGGGGGCGCGCCAGCAGGGGCCGTCGTCCGCAGCGGGGCCCAGGACGAGGCCGAGGTATACCGGGGCGCGGACCGCCTGGGCGGAAAAAACAAGACAGAGACCACGAGGGCGTTCTTGACGGCACCGACCACTTGAGGCGAGAACTCGGCAAGGAGGGGGGCGAGCTTGGATCTGCCGAGCTTGAGGGAGAGCGTCGCGACCGTAACCGCCATCATCATGATATCCGCAAGGGTGCAGAAAAGAGGCAGAGGGAGCGAACGACGCGGCCACTGTCGTCAGCGCAAGCCCTCGCCATGTCAAGACGGGGCGCCTCCATGCGGCTCTGCAGGTCGAAGGGGGCGCAGGCCGTGACAGCAACGGAAATGTACCTGCTTAGCGATCAGCCCTGAACGATGCCTGGAGAGGCCCACCAAGCGTGCGCGGGGAAGACGTTGAACGTGGCGACGGCCTCTAGGATGAAATAAAGCTGGCCCAGCACTGATCTGGGCGCAAAGGTGGCACCCATCTGCACGAATACCATGCGCATGAACTTTTGGGGAAGGCCCGGGAAGGCCGCGCCAAAGTCCAGGGCCGCGAGCGCTGGCATATCTTGGCTGACCGATGGGAAGTTCGAGTAAACGCGCGAGGCCGCGTCGAGCTCGAGGATGCTCACGCCGAAGTTGCGCGAGGGGGTGAAGCCGCGCTGTGAGCGCGGCGCCCGGTCGACGAGCAGCTTGCCCAGCTGTAGGTTGATCGTCGCGCTGATCAGCTCGATGTGGGCGCTCCGCAATCCAGAGCGCGGGCCGAGCCCGCGGCGCGACAGCGCCCCGCCGAGAGAGAGTTCTCGACCTCGCCGCCTTCGGGGGGCCATACTTGCAAGGTCGCTTTGGAGCTGCTGAAGAGGGCCTGGCCGCGCATGGCCCACATCCGCGCCTCCGGCTGCGCCGCGAGGCCCGCCTCCGAAGCAGCCCGAGCAGAGTGCGGGATAAGAGTCGAGGCCGGGCTCGGAGTAGTGCATCTTGGAGGCCAGCTGCCGCAGAAGCCTCGGATATGACGGGTGCAACTTGGCGAAATCGAACTCGGGGGCGCGCTGCGCAATGTAGGTCTGGGCGATTTATTTTTCGATGGGGGTGGGCGAGAAGACGGGTGCCCAGTGCGCTGTAAGCCTCTCGCTCATGACGGCCTGGTCGGACGCGATATCTGAGGTATCGGACGAGGCCTTCGCGCCGCGAAGAACCGGGCGTCGGTTCAGCGGGCGCCGCGTCGCCGACTTGCGCTCGATGGCAGACGGCTGGTTCTTCTGGAAGCGCGGAGCCCGCGGTCGTGCCAGAACAGATGCAACTTGGCCTTTCTGGGCCTCGGAAGGACGAAGCTGAGCGCCCTCGCGCTAGCCCTGGAAAGAAAGGGCGTGCTGCAGCTTGACTCCGGGCGCCGCAATGATGAGGACGTCGTGGGTCGCGCGGTGGATGCGACGAAGCTCGCTGGCAAGACCGGCGTCGTTGCGCCGCGCTGCGCGAGCCATCCGCCTGGCGAGCAGGAGCAGCGCGGTGGTGGGCTCGGGGTCCGAAACGAAGGCCCTGTCGCGGACCTCCTCGGCTGCCTCTAATACAGCCCACTCGCGAAGCTCCACCTGCCCCGGTGGCGGCAGCGGCGCGTGGTCGAGCTGGGAAGAGACGACGTGCGGCAGTTGCTGGATGTGAGAAGATTCGACGATGCGCCGAGGGATCCTCTGAGCACCGCGAGGCTTGAGCCGCCGCTGAGTGAACTTCACCTCGCGCGCCGCGCGGTCGCCGATGAACTTGTCGGCGATGACCTCGGGCGCGCGTGGGGGCCCAACCAGGCCAGCTAACCAGCGGCCCGTCGCGAATCGAAGCGGAGTGGGAACGCCTGTCGTAGCGGGTAGGCCCCTCGGACGTGATCTTCGCGAAGTGGCGAAGGGCGCGCAGCCAGCGCGACGCATCCGCGCGCTGCCCTTTGCCTCCAGAGAGAGGCCGACTAGGCTGGCGAAGCAGCAAGGGTGCCCGAGGGAAGAATCTGAAGTCGCCGTGCACCACGACAATCATGTGACGTAGATGGCGCTGAGCAGCTGTGAAGTCCGACTCCAAAGCAGCGAAGGTCCCCCGCAACTGCTAATGGGCGAAGTAGTTGTTGCGTACGTCATAGTGAATCAAAACCGTCTCATCCAAGCGAAGGGCCACTCGTGGCGCGCGCCCAGGGGCGAGAGCGGTTGGCTGAGCAACGGCCGAGCGCCCCGCGGAAAGAATCGTCGCCGCGCCACCTTTGACTGCAGACCCCGCGCAGTAGCTGGCGCACGTCGAAGCCCAGGCGAAGCCTTGGCCAGGAAGTATTGGAGCTGAACTGCGTCTTGGTGAAACTCCTGCAGGCGCGCGATGTCCTTCGTGAAGTTGAGCCTCTTGGCGTAGCCGAGCCTGGCCTTGCCGCGCGCGCCCTGGCACTGGAGCAGCGCCCCGGTGTTCTGCGAGGTGAAGGCCAGGGGTGGCGCGCCCAGCATGGGTCCGCGAAGCAACGCTGCGAACGGGTCAAAGACCCCGCTCGGCCACCTCTGGGGGAACGACGATGGACGTCGCCGCGGAGACGAGCGCTGTCCTGTCGAGGCCCAACTTGGCGATGACATTGTCGGCCCAGGAAAATTCAGTCGCGACGTTGCCAGGCCGCGGGGGGGCGCGGAGGGCGGGGCCCCGCCCGGCCATGGGGCAACCGAGGTCACGATCGAAGAACCACCTCTTGCTGTCGTCGGCGTCGCGGAAGGCATCCCTGAGTTCGCGGCCTTGGGCCTCCATCTTGATTGGACAAGGGTTCTTGTCAGCGCCAATGTGAAGCGGGGGCAGCGAGCCATCGGCGCAGACCACTTCGAAGCGTCGCTGCTGTCCTGGGGCCAGGCGCTGGGCGCCGAGGATATGGGCAGCGCGACGGGCGGCAGGAGCAGCAGCGTCCGTGAACTGAAGCGCGAAGTGCTTGCTGACCTGGACGGGGGGCGCAGCGTCGAAGCAATCGGCCTGAATCCCGACAGAGACGACCCAGTCGGACAGCGCCTGTTTGACGGCGTCAAGGTTGGCGAGCTTCGCCGCAACCGCGCGAATGATGGTAGGGTCGACGTCGCGCTCGATGCCTGCGACGGAGGGGGGCGGCTGCTTCGATTGACTGTTCGCCAAAGCGAGCGCGCCGCGGAGCTCCTGGATCTGCTCGCGCAACGCATTGAGGGAGGCGTCGTGCTCGGCGACCTTAGTGTCGAGAGCTCGCAGCTTGACGGTCTGTCCGTCGACCTGCTCGTGGAAGCGCCTCACGAAGGTGCCCAGCTTGTCACAACAGAACTTGGAGGAGGCGTCGGAGCACATCCTGGGAATGCTCTTGACGCCTTCAGCAAGCTTGGCAGCATAAGCAGAATGAGCGGCCAGCTGCGCGCCGAAGTCCTGCACCTGCTCGGCGACGGTGGAGACGACCGCGGTGAGCTCGCCCACGAGCGCGTCGCGGTAGGAGATTCTCTTGTCCGCGATGCGGTTCGCTCGCCCCGAGCGCTTTTCGGCGATGTGCACGATGTATTCAGAATCCCAGTCGCCATCGTCGCGCCAATCGTCTTCTCGCCCACCAGAACCACTGTGAATGGGAATGAGTGCAGGGGGAGCAGCAACACCAGGGGCACGATGATAATCGCCACCATGTTGAGCTTCGCCGAGGGTGGAGGATCCAGAACTGTCACCAGCTCCATGAGGGAAAGCACCGCCGTCACCACCACGAGCCTGTTCTTGCGGCGCTGGGCGGGCTTGATGCCTGGGGCGAAGCCCCTGCGCTGGACCAACTCGGGCATGACGGTGAGCACCGCAAGAACGGGAACTGCCTCCGTTTACCCTCGGCGCCCAGCGTCGGGCGGCCCACGGGCTCGCAATGGCTGGGCACCACGCCGCGAAGACCGGAAGAGGACCAAACCTTGCGAAAAGGGCCGCGGACTATGTAGCTGTATGCTCTGGTTCCCCTGTGGAACTCATGGTCTTGAGCCAAAATGGCTACGGAGAGGAGGGGGAGGTTGACGAGGAGGAGGAAGAGGAGGAGGAGGATGATGAGGAGGACGCGGAGCAGGAGGAGGCGGTGGAGGAGGAGGAGGCGGAGGAGCAGGAGGAGGAGGGTGGCCGTGGCGGTCCTCTTCCTTGCCCCTTTCCCGACCACCGAATGGAAGGGGTGGGGCACTCCCCCTGGGCGCGGGGAGAGCGCGGCCTACGCCGCCCATGCCCTGTCCGCCGAACTTCTGGCGCAGCCGCTCCTTCGCGGCCTGCTTGGCCGAGGGGGAAAAAGTGGGGTGGGCGGGGGAGGGGGGAACGGTGTGTGTGTGTGTGTATGTGTGTGTGTGTGTGTGTGTGTGTGTGTGTGTGTGTGTGTGTGTGTGTGCGTGTGCGTGTGCGTGTGTGTATATATATACATATATATATATATATATATGTGTTTTGTGCGTGTGTTATATATATAATATATATATATATATATATGTGTGAGTGTGTGTGTGCGTGTTGTGTGAGTGTGGGGGGGGGCGCGGGGGGGACGGGGGGGAACGGAAGGGGGGGAACGAAAGAGGGAGCATAATTGGGGGGGAACGTGGCGGGGACCGGGGGGAGAAGAGGGGTAGAGGAGCAGGGGAGGGAGGGGGGGCAGGAGGAGGAACACTGGCGTGTGGAGGATGAAGAGGATGAGGAGCACGATTGCTCCGCAAGAATAGGCTTTGCCTGGGGGTGCGTTCTAATAACTCTGTGAGGAGGACCAGTGGCCATGTTGTCGTTTTCTCGTGAGGTTCCCTTGACACCTGGGCCATGGGGCCTCGCGCGAACTCACAAATTCACAATCGCAATATCGGAACTTATCAAACATATCAGAACAACGCATGTCGTACCGTGTTGCATCACACCGTGTACACCATACTGTGCCACTGCGCTGTACGAGTCGCTCCGTTCAGATAGCATTGTACATCGCACTGCGCATCACGATCGCATACCATAGCATGGCGCGGCACAGCGTCGTACAACATAGCATGTGCTTGTACATCGGTTTCGCTGTAGTGATTTTGCAATGAGCTCACAATGCGCTAGAGTTGCGCCTGTGTTGCATCGCGTTTGCACTTGTACTGGCGGTGCGATGCATTTGCGTCGTTGCATTGGGTTCCTTTGTCTTGCATTGATTTCCCCGCATGGCTTGGTATTCCCTGATGTTGTGTAGTATAATCTTTGGTAATGTAGTAACCCTGTGCTTAGTTAGGGAGGACCCCTGATATGATTTGCGCTCGATTCCGTTTTACTGCGGGCCAACTGTGTATAGCCCTGGCTGCACTGACTGGTCTTGCGTCGCACCCCGACCTGGCATTATCTCTTGCATGGCCAGATGGCTTTGGCTTGCTGCGGCGATGGCGGCAGCTCTGACAGCGCCTGAACCAGCTGTGGCTACGGCCTTCTGCGCAGCGCCGACTATCTGCTCGGGGGGAACCACCGTAGTGCAGTTCTGCTGCGCAAGCTCCCCGCTGAACACCCCCGATGCTGCAGCGGCCACGCACGAAGCTTCGTATCCCAAACCGCCCTCAGATATCTTATAATAATGGCGGAAAGGGCAGCGCACTCCCTTGGTGCACGTGCCCTGGGTCCAGTACCAGCACACCTCGGCATCGTCGTTCTTGTCGCCGAAGACCTGCTCCTCCATGGTCAGGCTGTGGCGAAAAGGGCACTCGCCTCCCTTCGTGCACTCGGACGTCTTATAATACCAGCACAGCGGCCTGCCCTCCCGCCTCTCGCGCATGTTTGTAATGTATAGAGGAACAACAACCACATAATCAGAAAACTGTTGGAGGTCTGCGCGGAGGAGGAGGAGGAGGAGGGAGGAGGAGGAGGAGGAGGAGGAGGAGGAGGAGGAGGAGGAGGAGGAGGAGGAGGAGGAGGGGAGGAGGGGGAGGGGGAGGAGGGAGGAGGAGAGGAGGAGGACTTCTTGGATCCGCGCCGGACCCCCCCCCGCGGCGCGCGGAGCGCGCCGCGGGCGGCGCCAGAGGCGCCGCCAGGGGGGCCCAGCGCAGATCGAGGAACTCCGCGCGGAGCGCCAGCAGTTTATGTCTGTGTGGTTTGTTGTCCTTCGAATGTACTTGCTCTTCTTTGCCAAGGCCAGCTTGCACCTGGGACCCGTATCCTCCACCGCGCGGTGTCGCGGGCGGTGCGCGTGCGTCGGGGCGTTTGGTCTGCTCTCCGTGCTGCCCCGCTCCCGGCAAGCACAGGCCCCCCCAACGCATCGACATCGAAGCAAACACGCGTCGCGTTGGTTGCGTCACGTCCCTCGGGGGCGCGCTAACATGGATTAGCGATGCATGGATTTGGCGCGCGGTCGCCAAATCCATGGATCGGGGGAGGTGCCCTCCCCAAAATGCGGCTGGTGCCGCCTCGTTCGGCGCCGGAGAGAACGCGATTTCCCATGGAAACGGGACCCGTCGCTAATCCACGCCCACTTGATCCATGTTTCGCGATCGCCTGAATTGAAGCAAACGCACGTCGCTTTGGTTGCGTCATGTTCCCCGTCGTACAGGTTTCCCTGGCAAGCTCGCTGGTCCAACCAGCCAGAGGCGTGCTAGATCCCCAAAGCAGGGTAAGTCGAATCATTTAGTCGACATGTTGTTTACATACCGGCTCCGCACACACGAGGGCGCCCCCCCACCCCCCCAAGGGTTCTGCGGGCGAACTCCTGTCAAGAGGAAGGTGGAAGCGCGCCAAGAGCGCCAAACAGCGCACCACAAGCTCCCCAAGACCGCGGGTCAACGCGTGCCAGTCCTCTGGTTGGCCCCAAGGTGGCTCCGAGATGCCACCGAGATGGCCAAGGATGATCCAAACTAGCCTATAAAACTTCAACGATGGCCCAAGATGCTTGAAAAACTTCTCGGATAATCCCAAGATGACCCAACATCGTAAACAGCACATGCAACTCTCATATGGTGTTGACCGTCTTGTCTTCGTGGGGTCCAATGGGTTCCTCGGGCCGGGAGCAGAGTTTGCCCCAATACGGCCCAAAGAGATCCATACGATGGCCTCGAGACTCCGCAGCATGGCCCCGAAAGAGCGTCGAAAGGGCCCCTGAGCTGCCCAAGAGCGCGCGGCACTCTGTGTCAGGCATTGCGGCGGTCCCAAACTGGTCCCAAGATGGTCCAAGACAGCCCAAGGAACTGCTATAATGGTTCAAGATTGCTGAAGGAGCCACCTGTGGGGGTTCATGGGAAAGCCACAACCATTGAACATCGTTTGGCGGCGCGCACAAGGGGGTGGAGGGAGGGGGGAGGGCTTCTTAGAAGGAGGCTGCTTCTTAGAAGGCGCCGGCCTCACATCTACGCATCAGGCCCGCGCCTTCTAAGAAGCAGGGGTGCTTCTAAGAAGCCCTCCCCCCTCCCCCTACCCCCCTCTGCGCGTGGCTGAATCGTTGAACTTAACATGATGTTGGTCTTTTCGCCTAGGCGGCCTTCAAGTGGCTTCTCAGGCCTGGCGCCGGCCCCGATGTTGCCCATCGCCCCAGGATGGTATTGGAGAGCCCCGAGAAGAGCCCCAATGAAGGGGAACTGGGACACACAAATAAATAGACACAAATAACCATATTCCCTATATTTTTCCATATTTTCAGGGTTTCTGTCTTCCCCCCCACTTCCCATATTTTCCATATTTTCTGGGGAATAGACGATTAATTGTGTCTGTGTGTGTTTTTTTCCCTCCTGACCCAAGGAAGCCCCCGAGATACTCCGAGGAAGCCTCTCGAAGGCCCCCACGATGCTCCGACAGCCCGTGGAGGGCCTAACCATTCCATCAGCATCTAGATGCTACGTATTCTTGAAAAATCCCGTGGTGTTGGATCCTCGTCTTGAAGGAACTTCGCCCCGCGTTCCTCTCCTCCTCTCCTCCTCCTCCCTCTCCTCCCTTCTCCACCCCCTTGCCTTTGCCCTCCGCATCTCTCTGTTGCGGCACACCTTTAACACGCTTCGTGGCCCCAAAGGGAGCTCCACCGAAGGCCCAAATGCCAACGTTCGCATGCGCCCGCCGCACTCATTTCGGCACACCCCTCGCACTTTTCGTGGCCCCATCGGGAGCTCCACCGAAGACCCCAATGCTAACGTTCGCATGCGCCCACCGCACCCATGTCGGCACACCCCTCACATGTTTTGTGGCCCCATAGGGAGCTCCACTGAAGGTCCCAGTTTCTGCGTTCGCATACGCCCGCCGCACCCTTTTCGGGACACCCTTACACGATTCGTGGCCCCATGGGGAGCTCCACCGAAGGCCCAAATGCCAACGTTCGCATGCGCCCGCCGCACCCTTTTCGGGACGCTATTCGTGGCCCCATAGGGAGCTCCACCGAAGGCCCACATGCCACCCATGTCGGCACACCCCTCAAATGTTTGTGGCCCCATAGGGAGCTCCACGAAAGGCCGCAATGGCTGCGTTCGCATGCGCGCCGCGCCCATCTGGGCACACGCCTCACACGCTTCCTGGCCGGAAAGGGACTCACAACTGCATATGGTTTGGTCATTCGTTAGGCTAATGGTTTAGTGTTTCCGGATGGCGATGGGGAAACTCGGGTGGGGCTGTTCACCGTTGAGTGTTGCCCTCGCTCTAGCAAACGTTGCCACGCGCGAAGTTCACACAACCGTTAGGAGCACCTTCTACAAGCCAGCAACTTCAAATGGCAACGATGATGCAATCTGGACTGGTGGAATGTGCGAAGCGGTTGGATTCGGCAATCCCCCTGCGAAAGCGTTGCGGAAACAAGGCCGCTTGAGCCGTGTTGATCATGACAACTTTGCAG